GGGACGCGGCCTCAGCATGGCCGGAGAAGCAGTGCGTCTGTGCGCGCCCGGGATCCGAACCCGGGCAGCCTGCATCGGAGCGCACGCACTTAACCGCTAAGCCACGGGGCCGGCCCTGATTTTAGTTTTTAATCTGCTTAGTTCTCCCTCCACAGTGCCCCGGCTGGAAATGCCAGCTGACCCCCGATCCCTTTGTTCGCGTTTTCTGTGCCAGTCCTCCCTCGCCTTGCCACTCTTCTCTTTCCTGCCGCTGCACCTGTGTTGCAGGAGGTGGTGACAAGGCACATGACTTCCTGAAGCGTTTTTGTGTAAAGTGTGGGTGACCCCCTGTCCCTCTTGGTGGTAATATTAGCTGACTTTTCAATGCAGTCCTTCCAGGCACCTCATCTCACTCAGGCCTCCCAGCAGCCCAGGGATGGAGGGGTGGGGAAACTGAGGCTTGGGGAGTATAAGGGACTTGCACAGCCATTGGGCTTCCCTGAGCCCAGTCCTCTCCGCCAGAGGACACGGCTTCCTCATTAAGTGTCTGTTCTTTGCGTGGGTCAGGCCGGGCCTTCCTGGAGGCTCCAGAAGCAGGAGAACGTGTGTGAGGTTCTTGTCCCTGAGAACCTGGGAGGCCAGCGGGGCTGAATAGGCCTGTAGGAAGCGTGTTTATGGAGCAACCTCAGACCGTGTTATCCTTGCAGACTTTCCTGCCGGAGCCCTTTTGTACAGGGCCTCCAGGAGGAGCTAGGCCCAGAGTCCACTGAGGCTCACGGTCACTGAAGGCCTTCTGGCGTCTGGGCCTGTGTCAGGCAGGAGGTTGGGGGACAGCAGAGCTGGGAGTGTGATGTTAACAGTAACCTGGCCTGGGAGGCATGCCAGGGAGCGTGGGGTGCTGCCACCTTCTCCAGGCTGTCCCTTCCCCTGAGGGCCTACGTTCCTTCCTTTAAAAGGTCTCAAAGGTCCTTTTCTGCTGGCATGGCTTAGCATTCTGGACTGGGATTCTTTGGTGAGCTTCTTAGTGGGGAGGAAGGAGGATCTTTCTCAGGCTTAAGTGATGCTGGTTTGTGGGTGGGCATTTTTTTGTTTGTCTTAGTGTTTGGATTTGGTACCATTTTGGGGGTGTGGTGGGGGAGGAAGTAATGACTTAGTTTCCTTTGCTGTAGTGCACCGGGACTATCTGTAACTTAGCCTTGCAAATAAACACCTTCCACCGGCCTCTGAGGGAGTAAACTGGACTTACTGTGGGAGAGGATGTCCACCTGGACACTGCTGTCTGTTGAGGAGACTGCCTGGGTCCCAGACCAGGTACCACAATGGACTACCCGTGTGACCCTGGGCACGTGCCTTCACCCCTGTGCCTCAGTTTCCTCATCTGTAAAGGGAGGATAATAACAGTACTTAGCTCCGGGTCATTACGCGCGTTGAAGAAGTCGATATGCGGGACATGTGAAGTGCCTGGAGCTCTCAGTGGTGTGGCTACTGTTACTTTTTTGTTGTTGTCCTTGGGGAGGGGTGAGCGGGCTGCCCGTGGAGGCCTCTCTGTTCCGGGGTCTTTGGCAATTGTAGATTTCGTGTTCTTGGTTTGGGCAGTTGGCGAGCGACCCTAAGGTCCATGATGGCTGCTAACTGATCATCCTGCTGGGGTGTGGGGTTTGTGGGGCGGCAGGCGTGGCTAGGGAGGGGCCTACCCTGCCTGGCTGCCTCCCAGCATCGT